GGGATAAAATAGAGAGAAGACACAGACCAGCAGGCTTGAAGGTTAATGGGAAAAAAGAAACCTAAAAATACAGGTTTTTTGCTTGCAACTAGTGTTTTGAGTAAACAGGGGCACTCACAATTATGACAATTTTTATGGTTAATTACTGCTATTTATGTTGACAATTATCAGGTGTCATATATGATTCTTCTATATCCTTAAACTTTGTCAGCTGAATGTGTAATCTTTAGGTCCCTATGTGTTTAAGATTTATTTTTACATACACAGTTATGTTTTTATATCTGCGGTAATTCACCAGTCAAAACATGACATGCATGATTTTGGTTCCAATCTCTCCACTTTAATTCTGCTCTCACTCCTTCCCTCCCCCCAGTAACCAGTCATATTTGACTGATCTTTTCAGATTAAAAACTAAAAAAGAAGAAATATGTCAAATTTATTTGCAAATTCTCCTTGTTGAGCCTTGTCAGTTTAGCGACAGCCCTCCTCGAATTCCCTCCCCATTTGGATTTGAAAAGTGGATGCAACCCTTTCAAGGCTGGATACATTTTCTTTGGATCATTTTCCCACCTTTGCATTCAGAGACTGGTCTTCAAAGGGCTTTATTTTATTAATTGAAATAAATCTTAATCTACAGTATTTCCAATCACACACAAATATGGCTTAAAACCCTTAGTAGCAGAGAATAGCCTGGGAAAGGACTTCCTATGTTCCAAAGGACAGATAAAAACTTCCAAAAGCCAGCAAAACAATTTTTTCCTGTTACACACCAAAGCTGATTTTCTTTCCATCCGCATGAAAAGCCTAATTTTTATTAAGGATACAGTGGGCATCTTGCAGCTCTATAAACATAGTTGGTCTTCAGTCATCCTGACCAAAACAGGTTTTGTGAGAGGTTGGTTAAAGCTGCCTGTACAATCTCCTACCAAAACTGGTGCAGGATGTGGTCCTCTCCAGGACCTGCTACCTGACACAAATGCCAGTGCTGATTTTACCAAACTAAGGAAACAGACATGGAATAGGATACCAAGGATGGTTTGGGATAGCTACATGTCATTGCCATGTCTGTCACCATGGTACCTTTGAGCCACCTATAGTGATAGGGATATTTTTCCCTCCTTATATTTTACAGCATTGAACATAATTACATGTTGGAATGAGTGCATGTTTTTTTCCTTGACCATATCACTGGTATCCAGGCTGAAATGCTAACATTTACATACATAATTAAACCAGTGCTTATAACAGTACAGTGTTGCAAAGCCTTAATTTCTGAGCAGAATGAAATTCAAAACACATCTCTAAAATAATAATAAAAGAGATAGAAAATATAAGAGCAAACCAGATGCAGATAGGAGTGAGCAGAAGCAGTGTGGAGCTTGGCACAGCACTGGCACACTCATTTGCTAGGCATATGCCTTTTTCCACATTTCCACAGCTGCTTATTGTACTTGGTAAAGGTTTGTCCTTTCCCACAGAGTATTTTTCCTGGGCTAACTTTGAATTTAGCAGGGCAGGCATGAGGAGCCATTTTGTGCTTGGTGCCTGCTGGATGTGTTGCCCTGTGTGCCAGTGGATGAATCTGGAAGTGAATTTCTGCAGTTTTCCCGTGTTAGTGCTGAGACAACAGCACACGTGTCAAATGGACATGCATGTTGTGCTGCATGTCTTTAAGTCTCTGTATAAATATTAACTAATTAGTGAGCAAGGGCTGTGCCAAGGTTGTTGCAAATGGCAGAAGCTGCAAGGGATACAGCTCGAGCACCACCTGCAAGTCTGGATGCACAAGGGCCAGGGAATGGGGAAGGAAGCAGACAAGCTGAAAGGCTGGAGCCAGCCAGCAAAAGGGCTTCAAAAATACAAATAAATGTAGCACATTAAGACTGGCAACAGCTCATATAGGTTTAATGGTTACACTAAGAATGGACTGTCAATCTGGACTGTCAGCCATGGAGAGATTATAACCTAAGTGCTACCCAAACATTAATTACAGCAGATCAATTTTTTGACATACCATTTCAGGACAACAAAGGTCCCATAGTAAAAAGAGTTTCCTGCTCCTCCTTTTAATTTGCATCAGGCTGCTGAGATCTCTGGTGCATAACTTCCAGACACTTTGGTTTCCCATTCTTAGTTTTCCAAGAAAATACAATTTTCCCTAGGGAACTAAAGTTAATCTGGTAACAAAATCGAAGGTCACAGGTTATGTTCCAAGCTAACATATAAGCTCTGCTGACATCCCAGTATTTGCCTTGGTCTCTCTAGTCTGGCTGTTCTGGCTGTGATTTTTGTGGCTGTCTTCTTTGGGAGAAGGTCTGCAACAGCTCAGGGTAAATGAGCATCCCAGGCACTATGCGTGAGGATAAAACTATTAAGGAAAACATGGCTGGCATGGTAGGACCTCACTTTAAGAATCAGGCTTATCATAGCTGGAGTAAGGAATTGAGGGGGTGTTTGATGCCAAAAGGTCAAAATGGCTTCACAGATCATGACAGGTTTGTGTTCATTTGAGGATGAGATCTGTCCTTTGCCTAGCGTGTATCACAGCCATTGCAATGAAGGCTTATGCACACCCTGATGTCACAAAAACCAGCTGGCTTAGGGATGACTGAATACAACACCTCAAGGGCCCAGCTACAGGCTGAGACAGAGCAGTCACTTCTGGCACATCTTTTCAGTTTTTCCTGCCCAGAAGGAAAAACAGTGCTGAAAGCCCTTTCCCGTGGGGTGAAGAGAGCAACGAGATATGAACATAATCCTCCAAGTGTCTGTGACTGCCTTCCTGGGTCTTGAGGGGAAGCCCTTAGCTAAGGGAACTGGCTAGCTTGTGTCAGTGCCAGATAAGGATTTTTTTAAATACAGAGCATTAGAGAAAAGTAAAAAAAAAAACTTTATAAAAAAGGGAGGGAGGAATATTTACAAGTGCATGAATGGAAGCTTTGTCGACAGTTTTCTTGGGAGATAAGGAGCTGGACTGGCCCATCTCTGCACGGCATGGACACACTCGATGCCTTTGAGTCTCTCAGGAAAGAGCAAAAGGAGCTGCTGACATTTCTGCTTAAAAGGAAGAATCAATGAATCTTTGTTTCCCACTGCCTGCTTGTTTGACCTTATTGTGTTGCGGAATAGAAAAGAAATAAAAGAGAACGGTGAGGGGAGAGCAGATTCGTGCTAATAAAATCCAAGACAAGATCACAGCCCTCTGATCATCACTGGAGATGCCATTATTTGGTTGTTGTCCTATTTGCCGCTGTTGCTCATTTCTGATTCTTGCCTTGCTGTAATAAGTCACACTCTTTCCAGCCATCATCCCTGTATTGACAGGCAAATGTCACCCAGCTTTGATTGACGTCCTTTGCTCCTGAATACAGAAGTATGATTTAGGAATCAATTCTGTTTGTTTATTTAAACTGCTCTTTGTGTACCTTGTATATCTGTAAGCAGGACAAGATCTTTAATATTTTCTCTGCAACACTGCCACTAATACTGCACATTCACCTTCCCACTCAGTCACAAAGGTGCCCACCAGACCCTGGGGGAGGAGAAGCTTTTCATGCACAAAAAACCAAAAAAACCCCAAAACAACAACAACAACAAAAAAAAACCCTAGCAAAAACAACAACAACAAAAACAAACAAACAACAACAACAACAAAAAAAACAGCCTCCTTGGTTAAACAAGATTAAACAAAATGATCTGGTGCCCTTGATTTAAGCCAAAGAGGTCTTTATATCAGGTTTTAAGCATCTGGCAATTTGCATATACCCCGGACTTTTCTTCGGCTTCTAAACAAAAGGGAACACTTTCCCTCAGTGTCAGTTTGCAAGCAGAGCAGCGGCTGGCTTTAGCACCGGGAAACACTGTACCCAGTGATGAGCACGTCAATTTTAATTCACAGGAAAAAGTATTTCCTTTTCTGCCTTTATGGTTGCAATTGGGACGAGGAGGAAGAGGGAGATCCGAAATTGCCGTTAATTTCTTTATTATTGTGGGAGGTATATTTTCAAATAACTTTTACTTGGACCATTGGTAAAAGATCCCTGCATTTAAAGCGGTATTTCCCGGCAAACACTAACATGGCAAAGTGGCCTCAGGGAAGTGTTAAGCAGGAGGTGGATTGACCTTTTAATTCTCGATCGGTGACCTGAAGGGTACCCAGAGGCTGCTAAGCACGTCTCTTCCTTTCGGTCTGCTTCGGAAAGAGCTGTCATCACAAGATGCAGCTAGTGAGTGAGGCTCACGATTTCGCTGTTCATCCGTTTGCGGGAGAGGTGGGGGAGGGAGAAAAGAAAAAAAAAATATATTTCCCACACTGCCAGAGTAATGCCAAACTCTCTGTGAGTGGGAAGAGCAGAGCAGATGCTGGAATGAGATGCCAAAGCAGCTCCCCTTTCCCCTGCGCTTTTGGGTGCCTATAAATTGCTCCAGCGCGCTCGTCAGCCTCCTCCTCTCCTGGCAGGTGGCACTCGGGCAGGATCCCGCTCTCCCTTCGGCTCCGGCTCCGGCTCCGGCTTCGGCGCGGCGGCGCGGGCACTGGGCGGCGGGCACCGGGGCGGCCGGGAGGCGCGTCCCCGCTGAGGACTGTCGTCTCTGCGAAAGGAGAGAGAGAGGGAGGGAGAGAGAGAGCGAGCAGGCGAGCGGGGCGATCGCGAGAGGAAAGGCAAGTTCCAGGGAAAGTTGACTCGGACTGGCACAGCCTGCAAAAAAAAAAAAGTCGATCGCCAGCGGGAGCATAAAAGTACGGGCGGCCGGGGCGCGGCGGCAGCTCTTGCTCTCCCGCTCCGCTCCGCTCCCTCGCCCGCCCCGCGGCCGCAGCGGAGCGCCGCGACCCGCGGGATCCCCCGCGACACCGGCGGCCCTCGGGAGGGCGGCCGAGCCCCAGGGGAGCCGAGCTCGCACGGGCTCGGCGTTTTTTCGGCTCTGAGGAGGAACCCCGCCAACCATCAAGATTTTGTCCAAAAGCAGACAAGAGGATCGCCCTGCGCTGAGCCGGCTGGTGGGCAGCAGGCGGCGGCTGATAGCGGCCGGTGCGCTGGGGGTGGTGATGGTGCTGCTGCTGGTCATCCTCATCCCGGTGCTGGTCAGCTCGGCCGGCACCTCGGCGCACTACGAGATGCTCGGCACCTGCCGCATGGTCTGCGACCCCTACGGCGGCACCAAGGCGCCCAGCACGGCGGCCACGCCCGACCGCGGGCTCATGCAGTCCCTGCCCACCTTCATCCAGGGGCCCAAGGGGGAGGCCGGCCGGCCGGGCAAAGCGGGGCCGCGCGGCCCGCCGGGGGAGCCGGGGCCGCCGGGCCCGGTGGGGCCGCCGGGTGAGAAGGGCGAGCCGGGGCGGCAGGGCCTGCCGGGCCCCCCCGGGGCGCCGGGGCTGAACGCGGCGGGGGCCATCAGCGCCGCCACCTACAGCACCGTGCCCAAAATCGCCTTCTACGCCGGCCTGAAGCGGCAGCACGAGGGCTACGAGGTGCTCAAGTTCGACGACGTGGTCACCAACCTCGGCAACCACTACGATCCCACCACCGGCAAGTTCACCTGCTCCATCCCCGGCATCTACTTCTTCACCTACCATGTGCTCATGCGGGGCGGCGACGGCACCAGCATGTGGGCCGACCTCTGCAAGAACAACCAGGTGGGCGCCGCGCCGGGGCAGCCGGGGACAGGAGGGCAGGGGCCGGGGTTCCCCGAGGGAGCGGGCGCTGTGCGGGCAGCGGGCGGAGCGGCGCGGAAGGGCGGGAAGCGGGCGGGGAGGGGGAGCCGGGCGGCCCTGGAGGCGGCGCGGGTGCGTGCCGGGGGAGCGGAGCCCGAGCCCGGGCGGCGGGAGGATGGCGGGGAACCTGCCGGGAGGGCCGCCCCCCTCCGCCGCGGGTGCCCGAAGGCTGCCGAGAGCCGGGCGTTCCGCGCAGAGCCGAGGCCGCCCGGGCTGCTGGGGGAATGCGGACTCGACGCGCTCTCCTCTCCGAGAGCCGCGCCGCCGGTGCCGCTCCCAGCCCGCTGTCCCAGCGGAGCAGCTCCCGGGCCGCCCTGCGCCGCTCGCAGCTCTGCCGGGACGGGAGCGGGGGCGGGCGTACAAACAGCGCTGCCCCGCGGGGGCGAGAGGAGCCCGGCGCTCCCTCGGGGAGGGAAAGTCCCCGGCAAGAAAGGGGAGCCAGGGCCGGTGGGTGAGCTCGGGAGAGGGTGGTGCTGTGTGGGGAAGGGGTGAGGTGGGTGGGAAGAACGCAGCCACGGCACGGGACGGGGCTCCCAGCAGCGGAGCGCCGGGCTGTGCACGCTCAGCCCCCGGAGGGGTGCGAGGCTTCTCTGCCTGCCAGGAGAGCCGGTAATAGAGCGAGCTCGGCGCCCGCACACCTGAGCCCTGGCGGGCCGGTGCCGGCTGACGGACCGTGCCAGGAGGCACCGGGCGTCCGGAGAGCCCGGGCAGGGCCCGAGTCTGTCGGCGTCCCCTGGGCAGGATGGAGGCATCGGAAATAATTAAAGGCCTTGCGATGCTGCCGCCTGAAATACAGAGGAATCATCCCTTTTAATTAGGATAAACATAGCCACTGCCTGTTACATTGCCCCCTTGTAACCCCTCCTTCGCAATTTTGCGCCTGTTCTGTACGCAGTTAACAGACAGGGTTAGGCTGGCACTAATTCCTCCGGCGCTTACAGGCACCGCCATCCCTCAAGGCTCTGGATGCCCAGGGACAGTGCGAGGTGCCCAATGGTTCCCGTGTCCCCGGAGCTCCGGGGACCCGCGGCGGCTCAACAGGTCCCGCAGCGCCCGAGCCGTGCAGGCGGGCAGGGGCTGCAGGCGGGCTGGGGCTGCAGGCGGGCAGGGGCTGCAGGCGGGCAGGGGCTGCAGGCGGGCTGGGCTGGCCGCTCGGGGAGCCCGCAGCCAGCGCTGCCGCTCTCCCCGGGCTGTTCGCCCTCCGGCGGGGCGGGCTGGGGCACGGCTGGGCTCCCCGCCGTGTCCCTAGGAGTGCACGCCGTGTCCCCGCACAGCCGCGCTCGTTTGCGCGTCTCCTCCCCAGCCGAGCGCGGCCGGCTGCGGCCCTTTGTGCTCCGCGCACACCGGAGCGGCGGCGGCCGGGAAATTAATCTGATATGCCACTTAACCTTTTCTTTATGGCTCCTCAGAAGGACTGTGAAAACGGAATAATGAGGACATCAGCGGCAATTAATTAAATTAGAAAATATCTACCATAAATACTGTCTCAGCAGATAAACCAGGACTAGTAAAACTAAGTACATCCTAATGTATTAACTTAGATATCTTCCTACAAAAACAACATCCTTTACTGCAGAAATACAATTTTACTTACAATTAAAGAATTGATCTATTTTTACTCATATTTATAATGTTGTAAAAGAGTGTTTATTTTCCTGAACCTTGAAAAATAAACATGTAGCAGTGGTTTTAAAGAAGGATCCAATTACAAATATTCAATTGAACCTGAGGTCTAACCATTTCCAAATATAGGTACTTCCAGTGCCAGACATGAGACAAACTCAGAGTTATTCAAAGAAGAAAGAAAAAACCCACCTAAAGAGAGGTTCTATGTGTACATTTGTATATATTACACAAGATATTTAGGGAAATACCTGCATATCAGTGGTTTAAAATTGACCCACAGTTTTAATGCCTCAATGATTGATTAGGATTTATACTTCAAAAACTAAATGCTGATGTGACAGGCTTTATGTATATTTGTAAGGAAGCTCAGAAATTTTGAAAGTAGTTAAATGGAGTGACAAAGGCAACATTTAAAATCCAATGTTCTCTAACAATGAAAAAACCCAAAACATTGAAAACTGTACGACTTACAGAAAAAAAAAGCATTCCTAAGCAATACATATCTGAAACCTCAAGGTCCCCAATGTTACCACATTGTCTGCTTTAATAGTTATCAAGCTTGAACAGGGTGACACAGCTGAGGTATGTGTGTGCAGCTGAGAGCATAGCTTCATGAAAGAACTTACATGGAACTTGTGAAATGTATTGTCTCATAATACTTTAATTTTGAGATGCATTTACCCTCTTGCAGCAGTACACTCCATTCATTTGAGGAGAATTTATTTGAGACTGTTCTCCTAGGCTTCAAAAAGAAATTGTTCTGGCTAACCAAGCAAGAAGGTAAACCCACTAAGAATAGCATCCAGGACCTTTGCTGCTACACACAGGGCAGTAACATCTGCATTTTGGTTTCTAGACTTCCAATACCCAGAATCTTTTTTCTTTCCCAGCCAGTAGGTATTATGTAGAATCTTAGAAATGAAATATCCATTGCTGTTACAGCCAGTGTCCACATTGCTGACTCCCTCAGGATTGCCACTGATGTAATTCAAATTCTCCCTTACCATCCACAAGATTTTATACAAATCCACAAAGCAGCATTTCATTAGGAAGTAAATATGAATTTGAAAAGTCCTTTAAACCATTTTTCTCACCATAATGCAAGATACTAGCTCTCTGTGGAAGTTCTTCTACCTTGTCTGTAGCCTTTTCACTCCTCCCCACTTGCCCTTTCCGTTTCCACTGCCGGCAACCACCTCAGTCCATTATTTTCTCTGGAAGGTTTTTCCTGGGTTAATGGCTCAGAGCCTTCAACTCTGCCCTGCCAGTCACTATTCCAAAGGAAACATCCAGTACTTAGAATAATTATTGCTTAAAAAACTAGCAAAATAGATCACCTCTGTAAACAATACCAGGCAAGTCAGGACCAAAAAGTCCTGAAATAGTCGGGGTTTATCATCATGCCATGTATCAGTTTAAATTTGCAGCCTGTCACAGCTCTGCAAGCCTTTGCAGCCTTTCTCACTGTTCTTACAGGATGCATAAAGAATTTCCACCTACTGTGATTTTTAAGCTGCATAATGCCATAAGATCCTGCATGGTAAAAGAACCCCCTCCTTTTAAACATTTCAATATTAATGTGAAATCATATCACATGAAAATTTAATTTGGAAATTTATCATGTAAACTTTGAAATGAATCCATGGAAAATTGTGACTTATAGCCTATTTTTTTCAGTTCAGAGCAGAAAAAAATCCCACATATAGTACGCCAAGTCATGCATTATTACTTAGTTCAGATTTGCAATGCCACTAAATCATTTACTGCTCTGTAACTACGCTAGAACAAAGACAAGCAACAAGCAGATGACGTGTTATACTGAAATAAATCACATACAACCATGTTTAAATATTTTACCAAACAGAGTCAAATTATATATAAATGATTTGGAGACTTACAATGGCACAATGTTCATTGCTGGAAACCAACATATATCTTGAAATTACAGATTACTTCTGGTTTGCAAGAAATGTCAAATTTAATCAGTAGTGGAATACCAAGGGAGAAATAGGAAAAAAGTATATTTAAGGGAAAGTTGCAAATTAAAAGCCTTCAATGACTTGTAAATTCCAAAAATCTCTTACAGCAAATAGTGTCTTGCCTGTGATTTTTCAAAAGTGCATCTCTTAAAACACAGTGAAATTAAATGTTTGCTTACTGAAATGTGGTAATAGCAGTTTCTCCAAACTCAGACTGCTTGTGTGCATGTGTGTGTAGGGGGTGTACTTCTCGTATGCTTTTTTGCAGCATGATTCTATTGCTTAGTATGACAATAAACTGCCTCTGGAAAAAGTCCATCTTGGGAGCTCCTTGTGGATCCTCAAAATTGTCAATCACTTGTCCCACTGATACAAAAGTTACACCAATGTAAAACTGGCACAGGATCAGATCCAGTTCTCCCAACTCCAGCTATTCTTAAACATATTTACAAAAAGGCTCCAGACATCTACAGAAAATCAGGCAGTTGTGTATTCATCAGATGACTGAGAAAGGAGAATAGTATTGCTTTAGTTTCAGAAGTACAGTAGGAGAAAATAAGCAATTGCCACAGGAATAAACTACAATATACGTTGCCAGATGTTTAAAGTGGCAACTCATGCATGCTGAATAAAACTTTGAGGATATGCTTTAATTACACCAGGCAGGAAAAATTGCCTGAGTTTTCTTAACCAGCGATTCTGTATTTTGTGTAGGTTCGAGCTAGCGCGATTGCTCAGGACGCTGATCAGAACTACGACTACGCCAGTAACAGCGTGGTTCTTCACCTGGAGCCAGGAGATGAAGTTTACATTAAATTAGATGGAGGAAAAGCACATGGAGGAAACAACAACAAATACAGCACATTTTCTGGATTTATTATTTATGCTGACTGATAATGAGTAAAAAGACCCACCAAACCAGTCAAGAAGTGAAGCCTGCTCTTCTAAGCGATGGATTGCGTGGCAAAAGTCAATGAAACGAGCACCCCAGCAGAGAGTGACCACTGAACACCTCAGCAGTGGGGGGAAAAAGTTGAATGCTACCTGATTCACATCTGTACAACACAGAGAAACCTTATGTTAAAAAACCACAAACCAAGTTAAACAGATGTGCGATCCACTTCCGCCAAAGCAAATACTTCCTCATTGTTCAGTGTCCATGTGAATGAAGTTCTACATAGATCAATTTTTATAGGGAAGGAAAGCCCACCTAAGGACGCTGAGTTATTTCTTCAGTGTATATGATACTTTGATGTGTTATGATCTTGCTGCTTTATCCATACTTCAGCTTTGGTTCTTGTGACTTATCTGCTAACAATGATGCTTGGAGTCCACTCATAGTGTGGTGAGGAATGATTTTACAATAAAAGGAAGAGGTAATCAAAATACACTTTCTCTCTGCAAAGCAATTGTTTGCCTTGTACTTTTCTTACCCTTCCACTTAAAACTAGAAACTAATCAGCTTTAAGCCTTAACTTAATGTTCTGTTTTGTAGGTTTACATTAGACTTTTAATAGAAAAACAATTCAGTGGAGTCATTTAAATTTTGTCTTTCCCTTAGCTGTCCTCTAAGAGAAAAAGATAGAAGAAACACTATTTTCCCCTGAAAAATATAACAGTTGACAAACTATTCTATTGGGCCATATCCCTGATTCCACCAAAGCAAATGGCAAAACTCTCATTGCTAGTGGAAAAGGGATTTGGCTTTTAATTTGTATACATGTAAATATATATTCAGACAGTTATTACAGGCCCATTCTTGATGGTTAGTTGTGTAAATATTTAGAAAGCCTGGCATCCACACCATCAGACTAAGGCAAAGTGTTTTCTTTGCAGCAATTAGTCTTCATTAGCCTTTTAGCACTTAGTCTGTACCTGAGTTCTGTTTTAAATAAAGTAGTTACAGATTAATATACTGCAGATGTTCCACTAGAATTTCATAGGAATACAGACAACCTTTATTGTCTTAGGTGTCTTGTCTCACTGAAGTCAGTGGGAATTTTCCAACAAAGGAAGAGTGGGAGATCTGACACATGAGAAAATGCTGTCACACAGACCTTTTCCATGGAAGCTAGTACCACTTTGTGGTAAGGCATGCCTGCAAGATGGACACAGAGAAGCATATTACCAAAAATGATAACACATATGCAAAGAAAGAAGCAGATATTTACATGCAAAAAAAAAAAAGTGTGTATTAAAACCTATTTTTTCTCATTCATATAGATATAGATATATAAAGTCTCAAAGAAGCTTAATCCATATAGAGGATTAATGGCTTGGAGAATAAACTAAACAGAGATACATAGTTATAAAAATACTTTAAAATCAGTCATAGCAGTAATGTCCACAGAATTTTTTTATTCAGAAAATGGATTTATTATTTGCTTTGGTTTTGGGAGGCTATTTCTCTCAGGTTAAATCTTTCAGATTTCATTCTAAACCTAAATTTCAGCAAGATTATTAAATTTCTTTAGCACAGTTTGTTATGTTATTTATTTTTAACCTTTTGGCAAAATCAAGGTGACATTTCTGTAAATCATGAAAGAGTAACAGAGGCTACCCCTAGCATTGCTATTTCATATACTGTCACAAGCAACCTTGTCTAATGTAATATGGGTACAAACTTAGATTTATCTGCACTAAAATTTCCAAAGTGTCTGCCACTGACAAAAAAGCTCTCCAGTGCTGGCTACTCAGCAAAAGTCTGATAGAGATTTTACACATCACCCTAAAAATCTCATTTGAGTGAGTGAACCTTTTCTTAAACAGAATGCATTACTCCTTCTGTTTTGAGTCGTTCAATTCCAAACAAATGCCGAGTGAGCCCAGGCTGGCTGAGAGGATCTCCAGGCAAACTCATGCAGGGTTTGCAATGGACATGGTGCTGCCAGCTGCTTGTGTATTGTCTCACCAGACAGGCAATGCTTTTACCTTATGACAAAGTGCCAGCTCATATCTGTACACTGTAGTGCTTACTCCTGTTTAATTTCTACGAGGCAATTATTTTAGTGACAGATGTGTACCTGACTTGTCTGCTCGCTCCACTGTTGCTGTTGCTGGCCAGTGCATCCCACGGCAGTGTAGCTAGAGATTCCCTGTGTAGTGTCCAGCAGTGCTGCACCTAGAGCTAGAGATCATTCACAACCAGCAACGTGCTTTTACTACGGTGTGTATTGGTAAAGTTCAAAACTTCAAGACATACACGGTCAAATTTGAAGAAGCTTCTGAAATCACTACCACTGCTATTGGATAACACCATTTTTTGGGTAAATCACCTGCCCTGATTAAAGTTAGACAAGAGCAAAGAACACACTTTATGTGAAAGCCACATATAAGGCAAACATTTCTTCCTTTTTCATCATATCTTGATATACTGATTTGTAAAGACTTATATCACAACCTTTGTTATAACTAATACAACTCATTAAAACTGTATTATGTAATATATTTTGAGTGCTGGTGTTGCATCTTTACAAAAAGAAGCTGGTATGTGTCAAGTTTTACGTGATTGCTGTGAGACTCCAAGTTCATGATAAAAAATTAATGCAATTAGAAAAAGACAACTGTAATAATACTGCACATACTTTAAGAGGTGATCAAAATGCTTTATTCAAAAATATATTTTTCCATGTATTTTTTTACATTTTCAGTTACAATTAAGTAAATTGTTAAACTAGAAAGAAACTTTATCTTTTTTGATTTGAGATTCCTCTTGCCTTCTCTTGTCAATGGAAGCTAATTAAAACTTTCAGACCTTTCAATCAAGTATTACTCAAAGAATATGAGTATAATGAGAAGATTGACAGTATTACAAGGATTAAAATCAGCCCCTGAAGACAGGAAATTTAACTGAAAACCACAAATTTTCTTTCAAGGAAATTTCCTTCCAGGTGACACATCTTCAGAAGTAGTTTTGAGGTAACATTCAGTAACAGATTATGCTTTTGAAACAATTATTTTAAAATTTCAGTTGAAAAGATTCTGTAGGTAGGCTCATATTCAGTAAATCATTAATGAGCAAACTTTCAGATGGGAGAAAATGTAAAGACAGTACATAATTTTGATGTTCTAATTAAAAGGAAATATTACAATTAGTTTGTTTGCATCTACTTAATTTTTAGCTTTTCAAAAAATTTTTTTAAATGACTGCTCTACTGAAATCTGAATTTTATCAAGCTTCCTTATAAATCAGGCATATTTATTCATTGCTCCTACTTAAAAGTCAACCACCGCTTTGGATTTGCTAGGAGTATTTTATCAATTTTATCTTGGGATATGCCTCTAATTAGCATTTTAGGAACTATATTTTTTAAAATATGTGAATATCCATGACCTCCATATTTCATCAACCTGTTCTTGGTGTGCACATCATGAGCCATCAGAATTCTGTCTTCATAGCCTTCATCAATCAGCATACGGATCCTGCAAAAGTTGGAAGCATCCCTGTCAGTGAAAGTTCTCACTGCAACAGCATTTACACTTCTTACATTACTGTACTGCTGGACTGTATTATAAGAGAAAATACTCAGGTGCTCAGAGGATTATACCCCTTACATTTACCTGAAAATAAAATACATTTTTTATTGCACGAAAAATATCCCAACTCTGAAAACGCACCACCACTTACATCAAAATGGAGAAGTAAAACTTTGCTTTTGGCACATGACTTTGCATTTCCAGACCCATAAATTCCACAGAGGAATTCAAGAACTTCAGCATCACCACGCACGGGACACAGGTTTTATATAAATGAGGAAATAATAACTTTCTACATAAATTCCTTCTCAGCAGGTTACTTTTTGCTGCTGTCACAAAGCTGGTCCCATTACATTTACTAATGACCAGACTCTGTGTGTGACAGGTCTTTTAAAGGAGCCTGGCTCAATTACATAAATACTTTCGTATCTTCAGTTGAATCCCATTTAGCAAAGCAGGTTAATAAAAAGCTGAAGTTGCCAGTATTATACTCCACATAGACAGTTATCATCAAAACACACTGCAAAGATGTTCATTAAAGAAGACAAAGAAGACTGGCATGGCACAGCACATGCCAGGAAACAAGGGGCATTAATTAATATGGCAGTGCAGCTAAAGAGCCTTGGCAAAATGACAAGTCAGCTTGGAAAAAGAAGTAATCCTTCTGATCACACTCTTGTAGCAGGACTACTACAAGTCCTTCTGCTTCACGTTTCATTCAGGTAGCCTTACTCCTTAATCAGCTAATTTTTTTAGCATTTATGTTATGTGGATGTCTACACTCCTGTATTGCATGACTGTCAAGTTTCTCAGTAAGCTTCCATTTAGTTTGGCAGAGGCTTGCAGCACTGAAGTGTCAGAGACTGACAGACCAGCCCTGGAAAGTGCTCATTCCTCATGAAGGTCTCCAATTCCATCACTTGTCAGCACTGTGAAGTTCTAATTCTTACCTTCATGACAATGCTTTTACCAGCAATTAAAAAAAAACAAAAAACTAGCCTCACAAGTACCCACACTGTATCTGAAAGCCCTTACTGACAGTTTTTATTACAGGTAATTACAAGGAGATACACATAGCAGGATCAAATCAGCAGAAAGAAGGCAAATAGGATAGAATTTGGTAAAATGTTATTGTTTTTCAAAAACCCTCCATACATTGTGCCATACAGTGCACAACACTACATAAACCATAGTCTTACATCACAAGAATCTCCTCCAGCCTGAAATACAGTGAGACCACAAGCCAACCAGAGAGTAATGGGACTAGAAGGACTAAGTTTTTGCTGACCAAACAAATTATTAGAACCACCTACTCTAATATTAGACTCATTTAATGGGCTGGGGAGGCATATGATTCTTTCCATTCTGTATCCATTGCTCCTTTTTGCTCATTCCTCTGTATTAGTACATGCTTCTGACTCCAACCTGCCCAAGAACAGAAGTCAGTGTTTTGCTTGTATTGGCAGCAGACTGCAGCCAAACTGCTGAAGTACACAGACAGCTAAACTGTGTTAAGTAGGTATGTTACGACTACAGAAGTTTGTGTTTTAAACAAAAAAGATGTGAACAAGTATTTTCAATTCAGTATTTTCATCTAGAGGTCAATTTGACTTCTACCTCTGTGGTGCTACTTCACAAAACAAAACCCTAAGGAGATTGCCCCAGGTATCCTTAGTCCACGGTGGGTACATCGATATAACTCAAATACACATTCTCACGCTGTGCAGTGAGAAGACAAACCTTTCATATTTTCTTCCTTTGAACAGCCTGCTGCAAGTAATATTCAGACACTAGAGAGTTTCAGGAGAGATAATGGTGGCTGAGCAGGTATCCTGGATGGAATGAAAACTGTGCCATAGTTGAACATGCACTTGTTAACCAAGGCTTAGTCCAGTCCTCTCTAAATATTCCCCAGTGCTTCTGTAGATGCTGACTTTCCATGGCCCAGGAGAGGGCAGGAGGCACAGCACAGGAAGCAATTTTACTCATTCTAAAAGTGAAAACTGTGGATTCCTTGCAACAGTTTAAAATACTGAGTGCAAGATTGAGAGCATTGTCAAGAGAGAAACAATTTCTAGTGTGAAAAAGAGCAGCAAATGCTTGGGAGGCTGGAAGAATAGCCACAGCACCTTCTTAGAAGAGAACAGTTTGAAAACAGATTAGTTTCAAGATTAATCTGACAATGAGGGGGAGGGAAACTGTCTGAGATGTAAGGGAAAGCTAGAAGTTACTTCATTAGTAATCAGCAATCATAAAATCTTTCTCATCAAGGAGAGTGAAAGAACTGTTTGTGACTCTGGAAGGTAAAAAGACACAGGCAGGATGGCAACCCACCCTCAGACACCTGCCACTTCACTGCTCACAAACACTGTGGACAAACAGCATGGCAGCATCACACCTCCAGATGGAGAGGAAGGAGTGAGGTGTCCATTCCCAGCTGATCCTACCTTCTCTCAGACAGTTTTTGTACAGAATGTATCTCCTTGGCAAAACTTTGTGTTAGCACAGCACAACAGATTGGCCGTGCAGCTGAGCTGAGACCGCAGGTGCTGATGAGAAGCAGGGAAGAGGTATCCTGCCAGTGGGACCAATATTTTCACATTGTGAGTGAGTGTGAGGAGAATGGGAGCTCTGAAGAGACAGGAATCACATTCTTCAAAACAGAGAAAGGGCAAAAGGACAGTGGGAGGAAAGGTGATGAAGTGCTTGGAAGAAAAAAGGCAGTTTTCCAGGATGGAAGCACAAATCTATCCAAAACAACCAATGTTGTTGAGATAAAAAAGGGTCAGATGATATTTAGTAGCAGCACTAAGTTTCCAATACCATGTTTCAAATAGAAGTACTTAATCTTAACATAAATGCAGTATTGTCATCCTTTTCCTTTTTACAGACTGTATATATTTGACCAGATCAGCATGGAATTAGGACAGAGAATGAAGTTTAAAAAGCTCTTGACCTTCTTCTCAAGTAACTTCCTACAACACTATGATTCTGCACCTTCCTCTCAGACAGAAGAAATTATACATGCTGCTCTAACCATGTGACAGCAGCAGGGGAAATGGCATTATTTCAGTATGATAGAAGACAGTTTTGAACAACAAGCAGAGTCACTCTGTGATGGTCTTAAAACAAGTATTTTTTTATCAATAATATTTTTTATCAATGGCCATGCTATAGTTAAACATCACGGGAGAAGATACCTTGCAATTCTCTCATTGTCGTTCGGCATGTCGATATCTGGATGGAACTGGTAATGAAGGAACTCTGTACCAAACAGGTCATACTCTAAGTAACATCCAAACTTAGCAAATTCCAGAAGTTTCTTTTTATCAAAGATGGTCCTGCAGAACATATGTAACACAGAGTCAGCACTGTAACAGGAATAAAACATCTTATGGTATGAGGACAGGTACTTTGTGATCTCCTACTTGCAAGGAAAAAACCAAATAATCTACAATATAATTCACCCATTTGAAAAACAGGACTCCTGTTTGACACATGCAACTTAAGACTATACACAGCATTGTCCTTCTTACATTCATTTGGGATTTCATGCATTAAAAAACAAAAACAAAACCAACTCTTTCCCCATGAAATAATGAAAGCCTCTACAATAATCTTTAAACAGAAACAGGAAAGTTACTTACTTTTGATATCATTAACCCTCTCAACAGAAACCTAACAAGGAAGGACATTTAAGGAGGAGGTTAATTCATAGTGATATTAAAAAAAAAAAAAAAGACAATGGATTACTCACACAAGACAGATTTACTTTCCCAAAAGAGTTACAGGAGACAGCTTCACCCAGGGCTTGCTTCATCCATCACACACCAGTAATATACAACTTTGTCTTTAGTTTCTATTCTGTACAGTGATGTTTCTAGATTGCCATTAGAACAGCAATATATCATTGTTTGCACTGGGATCTGGCCAGAACGCCTTAAGGAAACGCTCTCACCAAAATACATAATGGCACTATGAATATCTGGGACATGGGCTTTGCAACAGATTTGAAAATTGAAGGAACAAAGCTTCTAGCACCTCTCACTCATTTGGAAAAGAACAGCAACAGAAGAGTTCTCTGGAATATTTTGGGTTTTCTTTGAACCATTTTTACCACGTGTATAAACTGTTCAAAGAAAAACAAAAACACACAAGTGATACAATTTTATCTTTATAGCTGCTAAACAATTTTTTTTAAAGAAGAAACCACATTTCCACAAGAGCAGTACAGTTAACCAAAAGGGCAGTAGTTTGAGTTTTTTTTAATTATTGCTGATATTAATGTCACAAAGCAGTTTTACCTTATACAATTACATCACAGTCTGTTGCTATGGAAATGACTGATGTCATAATTTCAATATTATGACTTAACAACCGATCAAGTAGGAGGAACAGATGGGTTGAGAGAGAGAGAATCCATGTTCAAACAAGCCTGCCATCAGCAGGAGTGTAAGACTTGCCAACTGTAATTAATAAAAAATGTTATTTTAAAATAAATGTTACAGTTTACAGAGACTGAACATTTATCACCAAATGAGTTTTCAAAGTGCAGAGCAAAAGAACAGATTATTTTAGATCCAGCCCAGCTCAGTTCACAGGGAGACAATTGCCAAGACTATTCAATCCTGTGCAGGTGGCAAAAAATACCTAACAATCTATTCCAAAATCAGAGCCAGAACAGTTTATTTTGAAAACTATTGTTATTGTTATGCTTTTGGGTGCTCTGTCCCAACGAAGAGCCAGAGAACTTAGTTTCCCCAGCCACTGGGTCCCATTGTGAGCCACAAGGATGTAGCAACAGCAGCAGCTCCCAGTTCAAATTGCTGATCTCTGAGCTGGAATTGGGTGTTTAGGCAACACTGTCCCTGAACAGCCCTGAGCTCATGGAAAAGGAGGTGGGACAAGTGAAGCACCCCATAATTTGGACCTCATCCATAAATACCATGGGGACAGACACCAAACTGTTATGTTGCCCCAAATTCATAACAGCTGCTGTGAGACTTCTAACAGAAGTTACTCAAGTGACTTGAGTCAAGATGTTGATCTCCCTTACAACCTTAACCCCTGACAAATGGATAAAGCAGAGGCTCAATAGCTTTTGCTTCCAGCCTTTTAGTACACTGCAGTTCCACTATGGATACCTGCTACCTTTTTTTTAAGGTGCTAAATTGCAAGACATGGTAGCTAGCATTTTAGTTTTATCATTTAATTGTAAATCCACTGGAAAACTACCATTCTGTCTATGTGAAATGCAGATATGAAACATGGAGCTATGTACAAATTTATCTCACATTTAAGGGACTGGGATGCTCCCACATGCATTTTTCTTATTGGAGGAGACTTAAAATGTTAAATGCACATTGCAAAGCCAAACTTCACAGTAGTTTATGTTATAGCAAGTGCCAACCTGAATGTGTGAAAGTAATGATAGAAAGAGATAAAGGAAATGTCATATTCTGCACCAGCGTCTGTTATTGAAACTGCACCTCTGTTTTCCTACTTATATTGCTTAATTTTTATCCATTAATTATTTAATTCAACAATTTACAACAGTGCAAAAGCTTTTTGCAGAAGCAAAAAGCCATAATTGAATGTTTATGTTGTATCAACATGGCTACGTAAGTACTGATACCTGCAGCTTGCTCAGTCCTCTTTCATAAAAAGATTTAAGCAATCAGTTTCTTCCCAAAAAGGAGTGAAAAATACAGCTATAGATAAAATGGAACACAGGTAAATACAGAAATTTATAAATATTCAAATATAATTTCATGGCATGAATTTTATGCTCCTAAAATCGTCAAGTAAAACAAGGAGCTCAGTGTGAATAACAAACACCTGTATCTCAATTTGCAAGCTCTTAGAGCCTGTAACCATGAGAAATATGGAGCACAGTGCTGCTGCCTGCATTGCATTCACACTGAGGGCAAACAATCCAATTGCTGAGAATCATATGACCACAAAGAGTCTCCATTATTCAGCAACTGGCCAAACTAATCAATGCTTGGACATACTCCAGCTCACCATGAGCAACACAAGGTCATACAAAACTGATTCGGTAATAGAGGCTATATTTCTAAACTGAAGACAGAAAAGCATCCCAGTTTCTCTCCATGCCCCACGTGGAGCTCCTGGTTTTTGTTCTCTAGGAAACTAAAAGTTAACTATCTGGTCTATGCTAGGGACTATCCAAAACCCAACTATTTTCTTTTTAAGCAGTATATCCTCTATCTGATAGTAGAACATTAAAAATCTGCCTTTTGCTTTGATCCAGACTTCAGCCAAATTAAAGAAATCTCCATTAGCTTCTGTGAGATTTTGGCAAGGCCATTAAGGGTGACCCAGTTTTCAAAAACACTGGAAGCCCAGCAACTTCCAACCCGAATTTAGTGAGAGCTGCTCAGTGTCCAATGCTTTGTAAATACAGGGATTTGTGCAGGGATACAAATTAATGAAATTCTCATTTTTAAAATGTGGCTATATTCCTAATCCCTCTGCCAGGCTTTCAAAGACAGCATTTAAAATACCAAAATCTCTTATCAATGTGAATCTAAAACCAGATGCTGACTGTAGTGCTGGAGGCAGATCAAGCTCTATATAAGCACTTATTTTTGAGTCAGTAAACTTGAGGGTAACACTTTATGTCACCTTTTCCCAGTGTAGTTCTGCAAAACCTCAGTGAGCTGTGGCAACACTGCAAGAAGCACAGGATTACAGTCTGCTTACCTGTCGAGGTGAGACATGACTGTCTTGGAAGCATCAGCCCCAGCTTCCTGCAGAATGCGGAGGATCTGGAAAGGGGAGTCGCTGTTCCTGCCAGGATGGATGATAACCGGGCACCCAAGCTGGCACTGAGCCTCTGCTGTTGCCTGAAGCACTCTGTGTTCACTGGGAGTCAAAGGCCAGGAGCAACCTATTTCTCCCACCACACCACACTTGATATTAGTCCCATCTGCTCCTTTGAGTACCTCATCAACAATAATCTCTGTCAGCTAGAGAACAGGAAAATGAGATTTTGGTTATTATTACTATTTGTGTTAAATAGCATCAAATTTGGCCTAGTTTGGACACTGGGCTAGTTATGCTCCCAAGGTCTTTCTGAACTTATCTAATTAACAGCTGGGTGTGTGAAAGCACTGCAGTTAAAATCTGGTTTCTGTCAACTAATGTTATGCTAGCCATTCACTAAGACCAAAATAAACACAGAAGCAAATCAATTTAACAGTATCCAGTCACACATTTGTCCAGGTTTGCCAAGAAAGCTGCTACATGTAATTTGAACTCTGATTTAGGCAGACATTAAGTTTTCTTTTTTAAAAAAAAGTTAGTTTATTCCAAAACCTTTGAATTGCACTCCTGAATTGGCTTCAGACACAATCTAATGTAATTATTGCAAAACAAGAGATCAGAGAATAAGGAAACCTTGTCATACGTATAAGGAAGAGAGAAACTCTGGTAAGCATCCTCAAGAGACAAGTTTAAGGCAAAACCTGCTTATGGGAATGCCAAGGTAAAACAACAGGAGATCTGCTGACTTCAGAACTACAAAAACAAAGCTCATTTGATAAATTTACAGGATCGAAATTAGCCTGCTTTAGAGCATGCATAGACAAAATCCATCAGAATCTCTTAATAAAACTATTTTGCTATAAAAACTTTACTTTTTCTTTCCCAGATAGGCCATTTATCTTAAGCATACATTCAGAACTGAGAGCACAAAATGGTACTGATGATGGCCTACCTTCTAAGCACTGAGTACAGGAAATCTGTGGGTCTCCATCAGTCTATCAAACACAGAAGGGAAACCTTTGCCTTGAGAAATCTATTTGCATCCATGCTATTTTTTATCTATTTGTATTTCAAGCAACAGATGAACATTTATGAAAAGCAGTACTCTAGTGTACATTTCGGTCCAGTTTTGCTGGCAGCACTTCTTAGGTTTTGACCATTGATTTTTAAAATTAATTTGACTCATTTGTAAACTGTGACAGATTTTAAAAAAATTGTCAGCTCTATTTATACCATTCACAGCCTCCTACCTTGGAGAGATCCATTCCTTCTTCTCCTCATCACCACATTTTTGTAATAAAAGGTGAATATTTATTATTACAGGAACATCTGGGGACCTCAGCTATTATTAACACATTGTCTTAGTCACTGTACAACAGGCTGATGTAGACTATGCCCTGAAAAGCCTGGACAAATGATAGAGAAGAGAGCTGTAACACACAGCCTGAGCAGAGCAGTGATTTACAATTGTCCTGTAAATACTGCAATTATTTATGGTTTTTACAAGAATGCTGGGTAAACTCATTGGGAAGCAATTAGCCAGAAAAGTGACAGAAGAGGTAGCAAGGATAAATTAATTCCTTAAAAAACAGAAAAAACCTCAAGACAGTATGTGGTGTACCAAATGTCCACACATGAAATACTGCATTTTCCTTTTCCTGTTGCATTATAACAAATTCTTCAAAGAAAATGGAGCTTAAGAACTGCAAATTCTGACAGATAAACCAAGCACATGAAAGTAGTGTTGCTCCAGATATTACTAATGCTGTTCCAGATATTATTAATGCTGTTCCCAACATGAAAGTAGTGTTGCTCCAGATATTACACATGAGCAGTAATGCTGTTCCCGGTTTCTATGCTGAGCATCTCTGTATTCCATCTATTTTACTGGAACATCTCCCCAACTTTGGCTTACCCAGGGATAATTCACAGGACAGAAGCACTGAAGCAATGGTTAAGACTTACCTGCTCCACTGTCATGGCCTGTGTTTGAGGAGAATGAGTGGAATCCACATAAAACCCAGCACCAGCAACAATATGAACTCCAGTTTCTTCAGCAAGTTTCTTCAAAGTATTCATATCCCGGCCAATTCCTGTAGTTGTGTTTTCCACAATCGTCCCACCACCTGCTGCTTTAAAATGCAGCAGCTCCTCCCTCACAGCATCTGTCTCCTGATACAAAAGAAGGTTTTCTTTATGGCTGTAGGGATTTTGCTTAATCCAAAACAAGTTCTTCATCTCAATGGGCCCATCAGACAAAGGCTCTTGGCCTGGAGAAGGTGGACAAAAGCAGCTGCTGTAGTTCATAGTCAAGTGTTCATGAGTCAACGTTCTGCCAAGACAGTCAGGCTCCACAGGGCCCAAGACAGTCTGCACTTTTCCACTCAAGGAAGGCATTTTTCTTTAACAAATGAAAAAAAAAAATCAGGTCCTAAAGGAGCCTGGGAAAGAAGAAAGGAAAAACAAAAACATTTCAGAAAAAGCAGCATTTTCTCAGGCAATTTCTGAAATCCCTCCTCCCTCTTGCACATATACCTACACTCTGTGTGTGTTCACTGGGATGTTTCCAAAAGCTGTTCGTAGCAGTGGTCAATATGAAAAACAAAGCATTTATTTTACCCAACTGTGCTTGTATCAGTACTCCAGCAATATAAACACACCACATTCCAGTACATGGAAATTGTCATCATTTATTGCGCTGTCGTCAGTATCACATTAAGATAAATGTTTCCTATTTAATAAAACCACTGTATGTTCGTTCAGGATTCTTTGCTCTACAGCAGCTGTCAAATTTTGTCAGCTTCAGCCACCAGATGAACACACTTGGCACCAAGGCTGAATATTCCTTACTGATATGTTCAGTATATTTATCTCTGGCCTCCAAGACTCGGCATCCCTCTCACATGCCGAGGAAGCAGTCTGTGTTGGGACACCTTGCCTGCCCCTCTCTATGTGGAATGCAGGGGTGGGGGTGACAATCTGCTCCTCTGGCTTCAGCAGGGCTCAGGTTCTCCTACCAGCTGTGTTCTGGAGGTCTGGAACAGCCCAGCACCACTCCTCTAAGGCTGACAACAGCCACCAAGGATACAGCATAGCCCACAAACAGCGGTGAGGAAGCCAAAGTGCTTCAGCAGGAATATTTTGCCAGTTAAGAACAGACTTTAATCTAACAATTTATATGTGGCTTAGCATCTCAGACACTTTTTAATTCATCTTCAGCATCAATGAAAAAATGTTACTTTTCAAAACTTCAAACGAGTCGTGACAAATACAAACACTGAGGCTACAGTCTGCAGCTGGTTCATGTCAAAGGCCCTGTGCCAATTTGGCCTAACTCAGTGCAGGTTAGAATTAACTGCAGCTCTCCCTGTTGGGATTTTGGGTTTTTTCCCTTTTAGGAGGGGGGTAGTCCTGACTAACCAGTTCATGTTAGATCTTCCAGATGCTAGTCACAACGGCTTGAGGATATATAGTTAAAATCCCTAGTCAACCAAAATCATGAGTTATGAAACAAAATACATGTTTAATCATGTCCAGAGGAAAGGACTAACTAGAGCATGCATTATTGATTAAAGAGAGAGGTCTTTCCCATTTCTGCCTCCCTTTTAGTGAATAATGTCATAAACATGGGTTTGTTACTGGTAAAGCCCTCAGAGGACATTTTCCTTTTAACTGCTAAAGTTAATCTACCAGGATGACAGAAAAACTGAAATCTGAAGGGCACTGAACTCTACATATCAAAGGGCACAGGAACATCAAGATCTCTTTGGGGTTCTTTGATCTCATGAGAAGCAGTCACTGCCAGAGCACCAATGCACAAAAGTGACCCAGCCCCTGGAAAAGGCAGCTATTGCCTGCCCAGTGAAATCTATAGTGCTGGTGCTCATTGTAATACGAAGAGTTAGCCATCCATAAAAAAGAGAAATGACTGAATGACTATGTTTATTTGCCTTGTGTAAAAGCAGATTAGGAAGAACTGTTCTTTTAGGAATTTTGTTCCTGAACCAGCATGTTAACTTGTTTGAGAAGGTAGAAGAATAAATTACTCTCATAGAACAGACTGCTGGCTGATTAATAGGATGATTTATTCTTCTTCCAAACAGATAAAGAAGGGCACGATTTCAGAAAATATTATTCTTGAGCAAATAATCAAAAGCAAAACACCTGTCTTAGTCAGAAGCTGCTCCTAGCTGCAATTCAATTAAACAGTCATTAATTCCATCCTTGAAGAAGACTGGTGCTCTATATAGAGCAACCCACTATTTTGGAGAAAGTTCAATGATCTGAGTCATTCTTATATGCACAGCAAAGCAACTGACATAATTCTAAGCATTACCTTTGCTTTATTTTTTGCTCCCCCCCCTTTTTTAATGTTAAATATCTACACTCTGGCATTCAGTAAAACCCTGACAACAGAGAGTGATAACTACCCTCTGCAATAGATTCACACTTCTCTTTCCCCATGTCCACTGACAAATTTCCAATCCAATTATTAAGTTAGCAAACTAAACCTATATACAATTAAATATGCAAGTATTTAATTTCTTTTGATAAAGCTTGACACAAACCAATTACCAGTTCCACGCCAGAAACCACACCAAGGTTTCTCTTGTAACAGACACCAACCTGTTGATTTTGAAACTCTAGATTTCAGATTACAGCTCATATACTGAATTTACAGAACATTTTGACTGAGGCCAAGGATTTTTATAAATATAAGAAGCATCACAAGAAATGGAAACCGACATAAACAGCATTTAAAGTAGGCCTAATTTTATCTTCATGAAAAATGTATTAATATTAATGCCTGTTCCTGTTAACTGACACAGTTTTAGAAACCCACCACTCTTAATAAAAGAACTACAAAAAATAAAAACAGTCAACAACCTGTGACTGGAATTATTTTTCAAACTACTGTCCTGGTATCTTCCCTACTGTCACTCACATAAAGAGCCTGCCCTCGTTATGCTATGATACATTATTCCTAGTAAGATTCACTTGATGGAATCAGAATGATGCATTTTTAAAACAGATTTTAGGTGCAAATAGCTTTTAAATGGAATCAGGATTCCTACTTAATTTAAGCATGTATATGTTACTACCGGAATCACTGTTTGTGTGGTTTACTCATAACTTGCATGCCATGTTTTACACAGAACTTTCTTTTGAAAAAGTTTCATCTTCCATACACCAAGGACTGCATTCACACCACCTCATTTAGCCATTTAAATTATGTATGTCTACAACAGAACAATCATCTGGAGATGAAAAGACATATCTATAGGCAGCTCATCCAGCTTATTTTAATAGGACAGGACAAGTCACTTTCTGTAATGTTATCCTCTTTCCATGGACTAAGGAGCAAGCCAAGAAACAATCCAGGACAAGACAAATATATTTCAGATGGCTCTACATAGGATATGTGAATTATATTTCCTTAATCCAGTCTGAGGGGGTGGGAAAATGTGCTGATTCCTATCACAGAAGATGAATAGGTATGTTCATATCTGGCAATAAAAGCTATTTTGGTTTTGAAAATTGTTAATTTATGTGCTGGTATTGCCAAGGAGCTCCTGCACAGACCAAGACTTCTCAGCTCTGGGTGCTGTAAAAAGAGAGAGATAAATTATATTTCCTGAAAATTACAAATTCAGGCTAAAAAATTAGAAAATTGCTTTAAGATGTAACCAAAACTTTCATTATTTCACAAAAGCTGTGAAACACTACCTTATCATTTTTGTAATAAACTCTGGACAAATCTTTATAACCACCAACTGTATAGTGCATAAAATACAACTCTTACCATTAGCCAACTATCAAATCCTGGTGAAGTAAATATTTTTCCTAGAGGTATTGTTAAGAGAAAAGAGACTTGCTATTAAAAAGGTCATGGTGCTGCATTCCTGACTGGTAAAAACTCCACTGAATTCAATAGATGTTTTGCCTGAATACTGATGACAAGATTTATATTTCCGCTTTTCCCATCTGAAACGTGTGCTTCAGTCACTGTGTCATTTTAATGGCCTTGTAATGGGAAGTCCCCCTAGGTTTGGATTAGTTGCTTCCTACAGTAATCTCATATTGCTGAAACATTATAATCACATAAACACAGTTTCCATATGCTAATTCTGCATTTGTTTTGATTCGGTAAGCACATTTTAATGGCATTAGCATGGAGTCTCTGTAGACCGGTGTGAGAATCGTTTCATTGTCGTTACATTACAATGTGAGATTAGAGCAACATTACATCCAGATTGCTGTGACATAAAATTTACAAAAAAAAAAGAGCAAAAAGAATGGCTCAATGGGTATTTACTGTAACCAGAAAAAGTTAAACACAGCTGCCATTTAGAAACAAGGACTGCCCTGGCTGCATCAAGAGCATTTTAAGTGGGTCTTTCCTTTATAACCACACAGCCCTGGGAAATGTGATATAGCAGAGGCTCACTATATATTTACAGATGGAGGAAATGTTTTGAGTATTCAATTCTAGTTTGAACAACCCCTACAGAACATGGAAAAGCCACTAATTAGAAATATGTGACACATCATATTAGAATTGCTATTACTTAGTCTATGCTGTGTTATCTCACCGTTCCCGACATGTCAATGTTTTGTGACAAGGGAAAAAGTTAGCAAGACAAAGGAAGAGGAGAGGCATAGGGTAAGAGAACAAAGAGAACACATGTAGACTATGTCAAGAAGAATTAAAAAAACCTCTTATTTTTCTCTTCCCTCATGTTTCTGCCAACCCTACGAGAGGCATAGGGTAAGAGAACAAAGAGAACACATGTAGACTATGTCAAGAAGCATTAAAAAAAAACCCTTCTTTTTCTCTTCCCTCATTTTTTCACTATAGAGGTTTACAGAAAGGAAGGAACTCAATACTGCCTGCACAGCTCTTCCTCTTCCCCACCAGAAAAGCAAGCTTACTAAAACCTCTCCACATCTATTCTACCTTCTTCAAAAATATATTCATGAGTGCTAATTACAGTGCAAACACGCCTGAAACCCAGCACTCCCTCAGACACAGATTTCAGGAAGCATGGCTTTTTTGCTCATGCGTGTTGTCAGGAAAGCACAGCTACAGGGGCTGTGGAGCTGAGCCTGCCACAGCTGGGTGGCTGAGTGCAGCAGGAGGACAGAACTTGCATTTGCTCCAGGACAGATGCAGACTCACCTGTCATTTAGTCCTGCAATTCCCCATGCACCAGTCACCACAAAGGAGTCCAAGACCTGTAACACTGTAGTCCAATACAGGCACTCTCACACCATCACTAGTTTGTGTTAATTGAGAAAACAACATGTGTTATATTGCTTTTGGGTTATTCTGCCCAAGAAAAAGAATTTGAAAATGAGTGGAATTACTAAAAAAATTGAGGTTTCTGGGCAAACTTGGGCCTCTTCTGTAGAAATGGTAGGTATGCTGCTCAGAAAGTGA